TGTATGTATATATAGTCCATATATATATATATTTTGTGTGTATACGTAGTACGTCTTGTGTATATGTGTAGAGGGTCAGAAATTAAACCCCAAACTAAGTATGGACCTAAGCACCGAGGTCGGCCCAAAGAGACGACCAAGGGCAAGAAAGGAACATGGGCCAAAGCCCAAGGGAAGTGGACCGACGAGTGGGTCGAGGCAGGTTCGACCCACCAAGGCCCCATATGGACTCTGTGAGAAAAAAAATGCCCAAATCAAGTTGCAGAGGGAACATGTGCAGCGGCAAAGTTGCTGAGGCACTTTGCCTCAGCGCCGCCATTTTTAATAACTTCAGCTCTACTGCCATCTGAAGTTGCTGAGGGAAGGAGAAAGCCGATGTAACTAAGTTGCAGAGGCGGTACTTGCAGCGCCTAAGTTACGGAGGCATTCTATTGGCGCCGCCATCTCCAATATCTTCGATCCTGCCATCTGAACTCGCCGCAGGAAATACTACCGCAACAACTAAGTTGCAGAGGGAATATCCTGCCAAGGTGATAACAGCCTTTGAGAGAGACTTCCCTCTACAAGTAGAGGCTACTGCTTGACGCTGATAGCAAGCCCCAAGGCATTACTAGCCTAGGGTTGATAGCAAGCCCCAAAGTTCATTTAACTTGGCGCTGATAGCAAGCCCCAAGACTTACTGGTTGGAGCTGATAGTAGGCCCAGAGATACCAGTTTACCGCGGCAATCCCGCGAAGATGGGAGCAGGGTAGCCCGAGTATAAGGGACTCCCTTTCCATTACCCAGGTCATGGACTTGCCTTAGTCGCACAGGAAGGACTAAAGAAGCCCCCTTGGGCTTGGTACTAAGGCCTTTGCCCTGGGAAGCTGGGGAGTTTGTGGTTAGGTGGCTTCGGGTGGAGGCTTCGCTGAGGTGGGCACGAACATAGTCGATAGCAGACTAATGGAGTCCTGAGAATGCATGTACTGGAAAAATAGAACTGAGAAGGCAAGTGCAGCGGCGAGGTTCACCGCTACAAGTGCACTTGCTGAGGTTCAAGCTGAGAAGGAGAGTGCAGAGGCAAACACTCCCGCCGCAACTGCACTTATTGAGGCTCAAAAGGAAGTTGCAGCGCCAAACACTCCGGTCGCAACTACACTTGGTGAGGCTCAAAAAAGGTAGTTGCGGAGGCAAACAGATAGTACACAGTACATGCAGAGGGACACGTGGCACCTTCAACCTGGTGGCTCAAGGCAGAATATTCCATGTGATCCCCTAGGACACATGTCTTCTCTCTATTTGGCCACTTGGTGTCCTCTTGGTGTCAAGGAAAAGCCTATAAATATGACCCATTTCCCAAGGTTCAACAGAAGGAATTTTTGGGATTTGGAGGAGATGCTACCCATTTGTGCACTGTCATACACTTCTTCTTGAGTCACTTGCTTCACTCTCACCCAGCTATACACTCTCAAACTCCTAGATAGTTACTGCTGTTCATTCTCCAACCACTCCCACCATTATTGGACCATTAACATAGTTTTGCGTATCTAATCACTTTCTTAACCCTGAACCCCCCTACATTTCTGGCAACTCCGCTGGGGAGGCTACTTTGTTGATGGTTCATACCCGCAGTGGTTTACACACTTCATTGGAAAAGATGGCAGAGGATAAAGTTCAGCAAATCCCACGATAGCAAGGCTCTTCCAATGGCGGAGTAACACACGTGGAGGACCATGACAACAATGTCGTGATTGAGGCAGTTCAGTCACTCCAGGATACGTAGAGGGAGATCTTGGTAGCCTTGCAAACTCTCACTGAGGCTATTATGGCCATGGCATCTAGACCAGCTCCAGTGCAAGCACCTCTACCTGTAGCAGTCTCGAACCCAGTGCCTAACTTGTTCCCTGAGGTTCAGGCTCTGATCCGGGTGCCTCTGGTGGTACCTCAAGCGAACGGTACAGCCACTAGATCAGCTACCCAGGAGTAGACTGGACCATTCCAGCCCACTCACTTTGTTACTCTAGCCGATGTACAAGCTATGCTCGAGCAAGAGCGTAGCAAGAAGCAACTGCCATGTCTCCCAGACCCAGATGTGAAGCCCCCATACTCTTAGGAGATATCGACTATGCCATACCCAACTGGGTATACAATGCCCAAGTTTATTAAGTTTGATGGAAAACAAGGCAATGCCAGAGAACATGTGGTGAAGTTCATTGAAACTCTTCGTGTCCATGGTAGTGACCACTCTCTGCGCCTTCGGGAGTTCTCCAAATCACTCACCGAAAGGGCTTACAGTTGGTATGTGAACTTGGCTCCCAACTCGATCAAGAGTTGGGAGAAGATGGTGAACAAGTTCCATACAAAGTTCTTCCAAGTCTAAGAGAAAGTCACAACCCTCACACTTGGACGAGATGTCCAAAAAGAAGGCGAAGATATATTGGACTATGTTAAGCAGTTCCAAGATAAAGCTGTTGACTGTCATGAACCATTGGATAAAGCTCACTTAGTTAGCATATGTGTGGAGGATGCCATACGCGACTACAAAATTTTCTTGGTGAACCATAATCTGCCTACCTTTTCAGCCTTGATTGAGGTAGCTAGAAACCTTAGTGCCACTGGTCCTTTACACAGATCTTGCGACAGCCACCGCTACTCCCGCAGTAGCAGAGTTGCTGTGGTAACCTCTACAGGAGAAAGCCGCTCGCAAGCAGAGGCGTCGTCCTCTCGAAAAAGGAAGAGTTATGAGGACAAGAATCCAAGGTGACTTGTAAGATGTATTTGACAATCCATAAGTTTAGGTTAGCTTATTTTACCAAGAGAAGCTGCAAAAAAAAAAAAACAAAACAACAACAACAACAACTTAACCATATTATTCAAAAATAAAAAAGCTCTTTCCAATCTATCCTTGTAAATTTTTTTAAAGGAAATGCTTAGCTCAGAAAATGCTACACAAACCACTTCCCAAAAATAAACAAACAAATCGAAGCATATACTGATGAAAGTAGAAATCCCTGTCTCAGAAAATGTTTTGCCACTGTTAAATGTTGTTCATAGTTTGTACAAAAAAGGCAATGTTTTCCTTATTCACGAACAGGTAGGGCAAAATTTTTTGAAAACTGCAAAAAAAAGATGTTGTATTTTCCTCCTTTCAACCCGTGCTTGACCGAATAAGCATGTCGTTTGCAAGTCATTGTGTGTATTTGAAAATTATTCATACGGCCTTGTACAGAATGCTGGGAGATGGACAAGTTGTTGGATTTCTCTATCATAAAAAATTCACCACTCCCAACTTGAGCTATTCATTTCATTTCCATTGTTGTGCTTCTGCTTCACAATACCCTTAAACATGAGAATTGCATTCTTTGCTTGGCTTTTCTCTATTCTCTTGATCTTATGCATTAGTACTGTTGCAATACACAGCCAATGCCTCAGTGATCAGAGCTCATTGTTGCTCCAATTGAAGAACAACCTCACATTCAATTCAGTAGTTTCTGTCAAGTTGCTAAATTGGACTCAAATAAACGATTGTTGTAGTAGGAAGGGTGTGACTTGCGACAAAGCAGGTCATGTCACTGGGCTAGACCTGAACAGAAAATCAATCCCTGGTGGAATCAACCACTCGAGTATTCTTTTTAGCCTCCAGTTTCTTCAAAACCTGAATTTGGCTTACAATAATTTCACTTTCACACAAATTCGATTCAACAAACTTACCATACTAACATATCTGAATTTGTCAAATGCAAATGTTGCTGGGCGAATTCCAATTGAATTGTTATACATGACAAATTTGGTTACTCTTGATCTGATACTCTATACTTCTCCAGAGTTCCTTTCCTGAAACTTGAAAACCCAAATTTACAAACCCTTGTTCAAAACCTCATGGGGCTCGAACAACTCCTACTTGACGGGGTAAATATTTCAATCCAGGGTAGCCAATGGTGTGAGGCCATTTCGTCTTCACTGCCTTATATGCAAATTTTGAGCGTATCCAATTGCTATCTTTCAGGCCCTATTGATTCTTCTCTTCAAAAGCTTGAGTTTCTTTCCGACATTCGACTGAGTCAGAACAATCTGTCTGCTTTAGTTCCAGAGTTCTTTGTAGACTTGCCGAATTTGAGATCCTTGCATCTCTTCTTTTCCAACTTGTATGGAAAGGTTCCGGAAAAGATATTCCAAATATCAACGTTGGAGGCTCTTGACTTGTCAGAAAATAGCAATCTTCAGGGGGTTTTGCCACAGTTTCCTCCAAATGGATCCCTTCGCACCCTGGTGCTTAGCAACGTAACTTTTTCAGGGACATTACCAGATTCTGTTGGTAATCTGAGAGTGTTGTCTAGAATCGAGCTTTCAAGATGCAATTTCATCGAACCAATTCCAAATTCACTACAACAAAATGCACTTTTGGCGACTAAAAAAAATTTAGTCACCAAAATTTGTGGAATTGGCGACCAAAATTTTTTTTAGTCGGCAAAAGTACAATATTTAGCTTCTAATTTTTTTTAGTTGGGGTATATTGATTATTGGCGATTAAAAAAAAATTTAATCGCCAAAAATGCTACAATTGGCTACTAAAAAATGTTTTAGTCGTTGTATGATTTGTTTTGGCTACTAAAATTAGTTAGTCATCGAATGAAAAATAAAAATAAAATTTTTTTTTTGGCGACCAAATTTTTGGTCGCCAAAAGTGTGTTTTCAGCGACTAAAATTTTTTTTAGTTGCTGTATGATTAGTTTTGGCTACTAAAATTATTTAGTCGTTGAATGTAAAATAAAATTTTAATTTTTATCTTTGGCGACCAAACTTTTGTTTGGCGACCAAACTTTTGGTCGGCAAAAGTGTGTTTTCAGCGACTAAACAATTTTTTAGTTGCCAAAAAACTAAAACATTTGGAGGGAGATATTTCAAATTTTGGAGGGATTTATCAAATTAATTGGCGACTAAAAAATCTTTGGTCGCTAATTGTGTAAAATGATATATATTTTCAGCGTCTCTCTCTCTTTATTTTCAACCCCTCTCTTCCTCTTCCTCTTCCTCTCTCTCTCTCTCTTCTCCTCTTCTCTTCACCTATGGTGGATCTCTCTCATCACCCATAATCTTCTTCAAGGTGTTATAGTACAGAGAAAGAGATGGGTGTTGTGTTCACCACCCATAATCTTCTTCAACATCAGTCCACTGCCATAGCAACTCCGCGACTGTCCACCACCATTGAAAAGGAAGATCAGCAAAGAACAAAAACCCAATGCAGCATCAACACCCATCCTCGCTCTTCGCTACCGACGCTGAATTCCCCAAATCAGAGGTATTTTTCTTCAGTTCTTTGTACTCTGAATTACCCAAATCAGAGCTTTTTTGGACTTGCAATTCAATAACGATTGAACTGTATTATTGTATACGTACATACACAGATTGATGAGATATATACCTATGATGAGAAAAAGCAAAGGGAGTGGTCTGATTTTTGTTCCATTGTGTTTACGTGATGGGAAATTGTCTTTGCCTCTCTGTTTTTGAGTTTGGTTTGTGCTGATACATGTGTGGTTTGCCATGAATTTTTGCTTATGCTCACCAACTGTTTGATGCAATGCCTAAATGAAAAATTCACCACAGACCAAATTATCTGTCCTCTTTTATTTTGATTAGTGATATATGTCCTTTGTTTTCCGTCTTCATGGACTAATTTAAATTCTGGTACAAATCTCTATAACAAGGTCATAATCTCCTTTGGTTTATAATATTTTTTAAGGATCAAAATTCACAATTAGTCATGATAGTCAACGTGAAATACACTTAAACACCTAGCTGGTAACATATATATGTTTTATTAAAAAAAAATTTATTTTCCTCTTAAGATTTGTAAAAACAGTTTCATTATGAAATTCTGTTCATGCATGTCTTTGTAACAGGTTTACTGATTTATGATGGAGCAATTGGGGCATCAGAGGCTAACATGTTTGCTTGTGGCATGGTCGACATTGCTTGTTCAAATCTTCTTCATTCATGCTATGGATTGTAGTCAACATAATGGGTGAGAAACTAAAAGAAGCTTTTCATTGTGAATTTTCTTTCACTGCCTTTCTATTGGTTTTATTATGATAATCTCTTATATTGTTTCCTAACTTCAGTTACAATGTTTGACCATTAAAACCGTAGATTAATTGTTGCAAAGTTTACAAGTAAAACTGCTACAAGTGGTTTATGAAGCTTGGCTATGTTAAATGTAACTGAAGGTGTTGCCTTTGCTCATTCACTTTGATGCCACTTATGGTGAACCATAAGTGTCTTCCCTTTTTTTTTTTGGTTTGATCGGCAAAAAAAAAAATCCTTTGTTGATGAATAAAGAAATCATTACACTTATTGATGAACCATAGGTGTCTTGATGCATTAAGAATTGATACACCTAATAAACAGAACACAAAACACAAACATGAATAAGAATAAGAAACAAGGATCAAATATAAATGAACACAAAAAATTTACATGATTCTTTCCAAAAACTAGTTGTGGATTGTAATATGACCAGAAAGTCATAATATCTAGAGCTAGCCTTTTCTCCCCTCAATTATAAGTACATAGAAATTAGAGCAACATGTGTGTAAAAATATCAAAATATCCTTACTCTAAAATTTGGGATCAAATGGTTAGTATTCAGTTCTTATCAGGATCCACACCACCCTAAAATGATGCTCCAGCTAATGTGGCTTGATTCATCCCAACCATTCCTCTCCCGGTAGATAAGGCTAAAATAGTAATTTCAATATATAAAAAAAAAGGAACTTTAGAATGATACTGTAGTTCTTGTTAGCAATCCTAAACATAGAAGCCCTCTGAGTCTTGTAGTCATTTTAAATGAGCATCACTAGCTACTACTGTAGATTAAATCTCTTATTGACATTCATAAAAAACCACTTAGATAAGGATGTTGTATAATCTGTAGTTGTTTCTATTCTCCATACAAAAATGTAGTTGAGTTATACATGGTGACTTGTTCATTAAAGTTGTCTGTGAGTTGGGTATATTAGGCATCAACACTTTTTATTAACTTAAGATATCCCGTTAATTAGTTATTTTTGGGTGATGATTCAGATTAACTCGTCATTTAGTGGGGTGTGTGTGCCCTTAATTTATAAACTCAGGAACTCATGTTGATCTTGTTGCTTACCAAGTTGGTTAGTTTTTTTAGTTTCAAATTTTAAAAATGTCATAACTTTCATTGTATACATCCATTTGTTATAACAATTATATTTTTTAAAAAAATTGGTAGAGATTTGTTGGAAGATATCAATATTCGATATGAAATTATGTTTAAAAAAATGAAATTTTCAAGCTTCTAAAAACATTATTTATGAAATTGTGAAACTTGTTTTTGTCCTTAAAAAAAGGGAGAAATTTTACAGAATCTATATTGCGAAATTAGAATATTTCACAATTTTTGTTCGAAAAAAATGTCGAATTTCATAGTTTCTCAAATTGAGAAACTTAAAAAATTACAATTGTTAGGTTTTATTCTTGGCAATCCCGTTTGACAAAACTCCTTTCAATTGTATTTATTTTCGTACTTTTTATTTCAGTGAGGCTATGAGTGTTTAGATGCGAATCCAACCCGAATTGTGCCTTTCAGAGAAGTTTGTGATGCTAATGCTTTCAAGATTGCCACTTCAAGATTGCCACGGCGGGGTCGAGGGGCAGCGCCCCCGAAGCAAAATGCAAAAATGCATTCCAAGTTGCCTGTCCGCTCGAGCGGACATTACCCCGCTCGAGTGGAGAATCCCTGGTTCTAGCAGTTTGTCAGGTCTGTAAAAATACTGGAAGGTGTGATTTCACGCTCGAGGGGGTTCTCCAGCACTCGAGCGGACCTCTGTTATATCACGCGTAGATTTTACTGAAGACGCTCGAGCGGGATGTTGGGCGCTCGAGCGGACCGCGCGAACACAGTTTTCCGGATCTCAATAAGGATTGGGTTTTCTTCCAAATCTAGAATTACTTTTTTGGTTTTCTATAAGTAGTTGGTATTCTCCTAAAACTAGACTACTCCTGAATTCCTCAAGATCTTCTTTTTTGGTTCTTAAGGTTTATATCTGGGGATATTTTGTTAGTTTTCTTTGATGTTTTGATTGAGCATTCAACTCATGTTTTAAAGAGTATACATCAAAGGTCTTGTTTGTTCTACAAAAGAGAGAGTTGTTCTTCGGTGGATTCTGAAGAATTCGAGCCTGAAGCTTTGGTGGATTCCGGGGTGGCTCATCGTAAAGACAATTCCGAGGTGAAGACGGGTTGGAAGAGGCACATAGAGGTTGGTTTAATTAGGCGTGGATTCGCTAGGTAATTGAGAGTATACCTGTGTGATTCCTTTAAATCCTCTTAGTGGATTGTTTTGTGGCTATTGCCCATGGTTTTTTTTATCACAGTTGGAGGTGTCCAATTATGGTTTTTTTCACGTAAAATCGTTGTGTCTCTTTGTCTTGATTGTTTGATTGGGATTGTTATATTCTGCTTAAAATTGATACATAATCACAAATCAACATCTAGGGAATTTCTAGATTTTTCAATAATGTTTAAGAAACTACCAAAGTGCACACTTTCTGTATAGAAATTGTGTAACATTTTTTAAAAATTGAGAAACTTCTTGATTTCTTGGCCAACAAGGTGGGGTTACACATGTAAGTGTTCATATTATTGTCATTCATTTTGAATTCTTTCTGCAATATAAACAATTAACCTTTTCAAGCACAACTTTCTGTCAGGTGCAATTCTCAAAAGATGGTAACTATTTGTATACAGGGGAGTGAAAGGTAAATTATTGTGTCGTTCATTTTGAATTTTGTTTATTTTTTATTATTTTTTTGTTTTTGTTTTTGTGTTCCCTCACATGAAACGTACACTATAGGCTAGGTGGAATACAACAGATAGATGGTCCGCAACCATTTGAGCCTATGCAAACTCTACAATTTAATCTTGCATAATTCATTTAAGCACACATACATTTTCTAAATTTGTTGTCTTTTGGTGTTAATATTTGTTATTAAAAACAAATAAATAAATAAATAAAAATCCATAATATGATATTCTTAAGCTCCATCTTGTACAAAGACAAGCTAGATTTAGGAAACAATTCCAGATAACTTGCACTCCTACTGATCTTATATTATGACAATTGTCAATAAAATAAGATAACACCATCATAATATAATGATAATGGAGTTCAAATAATTAATGTAGACTTTCTTCCAGTCTTAGTTATTCAATTAAAGCAAATGGATTTGTTTTTATGTTCATCTCCAAGATATTTATTAAACATTGTAATTGCTCTCTTATTTTGTCCTCCATGAGCTATCTAGTTTCAGCTTACCCTTTAATGAACCTTATCATTATTTTTATAGCTGGTTATTATATGCTAATTTCTAGATAATATGAATGCATTTGACCAAAAAAATTATCCTCAAATTTGTTATAGGACCCTTACATGCTCTGCTGGCACATACGCAAACATAGTTCTACATTTTCCAGTCTGTGTTGCTTTAAATGGCTTGTTCTTTTTGTTCATGCAAATTTTGTATTACCCTCTTTAATCACTAAATTTAAAGAAGGGCTTTGACTGATTGTTTTGCCTGTGTGCATCCTGTAATTAGGCTATATCGATCTTCAGAAAATATCAATCAGCGGATACTGTTTGATATTGATCCTTAACGTTCTTGCATTCTTTGCCTTAATTTTCTGGCTTATGGTATGATGGAAATAAGGGTAGCAAATATGAAGATCATTAAAATGCAGGGAAACAATATATGTGAGTATAGGGTCACAGTAGCTAAACAAAAAGTAGATTATAGCAAGTCATTCAAAAGCAGGGAAAAAAAACAAGGAGTGTACTTTCCTCCAAATTAATCTGGGTATAGTTCCAACTGGTGAATGTAGAACTAGAAAGGGAGAGAGAGAGAGAGAGAGAGCAGTCTAAAAGATGAAATTGTGAGTGGAAAAAACTAACATAGTATGGAAACTTAAATTCTAGAATTTGGGGAATAGATCAAGTCCTCAAAAAGAATGGTAACTTAATATAAGGTCATTATCATAGAAACAGGATACATTTCTGTCATTATACCCATGAATCTTCACAAGGACCACAGCAATTTGTTTGGAAGTGCTGAGAAGTTATTGGCCTATAGATCCAAGGTTAGTGTTGAATATATTTTTAATTTAATAGGTTGAATTCTCTATGAGTTTTGGCAACATTTACAGATTTTGAGTTAAGATCCAAACTACTTCTAGGTTTTGATGTTGATCTTTGCAATGAAGAAAATACATGTTGAATATGTAGTGAATCATACTTCTCAACCTGTTGATGCCATCTTATAAAAGCATATGTAGCCAACATGCAAAATCATTTGTTCTCTTATCATGGAGATACCTAAGTTGTGCCTCTAGTGGCTGCCAACCACAGTAAAGTTGTGACCAAAATCCAGCTATGAGATGCATTGTCAAGTTAATCTTTTGGATGTCAATGTCGCTTGTGTCAATATCATTGAGGCATCTTTATTAATTTTTTTTAGATACCAGTATTTAGAATTTCATTCACGGTCACAAGTAAACGATAATTTTGAAATCACTTGCTACTGATATGTCTGATTCATCTACTAAATGTTTGGAGTCATGAATGCTGTTGGTCTTTCTAAGGGTGGTTTTTCTTGTTTCATTTCATCCTCCTCTTCCTTGTATATAAATATAAACTTATTTCTGTATTTATATTTATACCTTCCTGGAGAGACACTTATGCATAGTTAACTGCTTTAAAAATGACTAGTGTAGACACCCCATTTTTGACCGTCCTCAACACTTGGACGTCACCGTTTGAACACTCGGTGATCATCCATGTTTGTGTTCGTTTGGAGTTCCCGGAGGTCTCGGCTACGTGCCTTGCCTCAGGATCTCCGAATTCAACCGTTTAGTGCCTGATTTTGCACCAAACACTTGCATTTTGCCTTGGAGGGACAGGGAATGCCTTGTGAGGCACCCCCACACACCACCGGCCATGGCCAGAGGCCACCGACTGGTTTTTGCTTCCACCGGCAATGTATATTGCCGGTCGGCACTCCCTTTTGCCAAAATGGCATCTTTGGCCGGCCGACTACTGTGCATCTGCTTTTGCAGATATTTTATCACAGCTGTCTTGCATTTGGCTCCCCTCCATACACGTGTATGGAGGGATCTCCCTCTTTAGAAGCTTGTCTTGTAAGCTTTACAAGACAAGAAGCTCTATAAGAGGAGCCCTTCTCTCCCTTGCTTAGGGTTGGAGACTTTTGACATTTTAGAGACAAAAAACACAGGAGAGAGCTCTGGTTTTAGGGTTAGGGTTAGATACACATTCTATCTCTCTTTTTCTCTCTTGAGTGTTCTAGGTGCATTTGTTCTTACTATTGCACACAAACACCTAGTGTTTCACCTTCCTTTGGCTACTGAGGTTCTAAGGGGCTGGTTTTGGTGTTTTGGAGCTGGATTCAAGCCAAGAAGGCACCAATTGTTGAAGGGGGCTTCAAAGGTAACGAAACTAGTCCCTTATTTTTGCATCTTATTTTTACCCATCTTTGAACTGTTTTTGTGCTTAGTGTATAACATAAAAAAGTTCTGTTTTTTAGCTCTCTTGATTGTTTATTAAGAGTGTTTTGTGGTTTGAGGGTGTTTGACCCCTCTTAGGCCTTGAAAGGCCCCATTTTGAGTGAGTTTCGAGACTTTGGTGTTTGGGCCTCTTCACCACTGAAATCTTGAGAGA